GACACCCATTCCTATGCCCCAAGTGGAAGACCTTGCACTTATCCACATTGAACGCCATCCTGTTGTCTCCTGCCCACTTCCATAGTCTGTCCAGATCCTTTTGGATCTGGAGTACCTGCTCCTCAGTGGTGGCCACTGCCCCAGTTTTAGTGTCATCTGCGAATTTGATCAGCAGACGGTTCACCCTTCTTCCATGTCAGTGATGAAAAGATTAAACAGGATCGGCCCCAGGACAGAGCCCTGGGGGACCCCACTTGTCACTGGCCGCCATCCCGATGATTCCCCACTAATCGTTACCCTCTGCTTTCGGTCAGTCAGCCGTGCCCTAATCCACCTTTGGTGTATCCCAAAACTCCTCAGTTTCTCCACCAGGATATCATGGGGCACTTTGTCAAAGGCCCTGCTGAGATCCAGGGTAACCACCCCCACCGCATCCCCTCCGTCCAGCCACCTCGGAACCGTGTCGTCGACTTCCACAGGGTCTGTCTGGCAGGGCCCTCCCGGTGCATTTCACCCGCTGTTTTACCTAGGTTGAGCTTGGAGCAGGTGCTGTTGGCTTCGCCATTCACCGAACACTTGTAAACGTCTCCAGTCTTCTGTTGCCCGCTGCTCTCGTACGGGGCTCCTACCACCAGCCTGGAAAGAAACACTTTTCTATCTGTCCAGAGCTTTTATTAGCCTATGTATTTTATCACAAAAAGCGAGACATGTCACATTAAACAGAAGACCTCTTTACACAGTGTCTTTGTGATCTTCCTCAGCCCAGCAACATCTTTTTTTTTCAATTTATATCCTGCCTTTTTCCTGCAAAGGGCTCAAGGCAGCTTACATCTCCATCTTATCCCCACAACAACAACCCTGTGAGGTAGGTTGGGCTGAGAGTCTGACTGGCCCAAAGTCACCCAGTTGGCTCCATGGCTGAGCAGGGACTCGAACCCGGATCGCCTGAGTCCCAGTCCCAGGCTCTTCACCACTACGCCACACTGGCTCTCCATCTTAGACATGGAATTTAGGACAAAGTGGTAATACAGGAGAGATCTGTTCAAGGAAATATTTTGGAGGATTTAAAGGCAATGAGTAAATGTTGAAAAATGTTTTGAGGACTGGGGATACAGACATAGGAAGAGCCTTTCCCAGCAAAGGCAGAGTAAGATCATGTGAGGCGGAACTGGGCCTGCTAAAAGCGAAGAGAGGAAAAGACGCACGCAACCACAGCAAAACGTTGCATGGGTGATACACAAGCGTTGCCGAGTTGGAACCGGGCAGAGATGAGACCTCAGAGGGCAGTTCCCCCGTAGAGATGCAGCATTCCCCATGAAGCAGCCAGCAGCTGCCGAGTCTGATGGTGGCACTGGGAAGAGGAACGCCCGGCGGTTTTTCCCCTCATTCCTGTGCAGGATGCACTTCCGCTGCCTAACACGGGGCAGCCCTAACCTGCGAGAGAGGCCCGTCTGCCCAGCCCAGCACTTCCTCTCTGGCTCACGGCCAGCCCGAGCTGCCACGCTCCTCCTGACCCTACTCTGTGAGGGTAAAATGGCAGGTGCAAACGGCCCCGTGCACTCGGACGGGGTCTCCAGAGGGAACTGCTGGGTGGGCAGCTCACCAAACCAGGAAGGAGGAATTCCGGAGAGCGATTCCTAGGCAGCAGGACGAACGCCAAACTGCTCTTTAGGAGAAATTTAAAATACATGGCGGGTTGTGCTAGGAAAGCTGCCAGTTGCAGGTTGCACCTCTGAGCTGTGCCCATGAGCTCCGCATTCAGCCGGAGTGCATGTGCAATTCTGCTAAGGAAAAGCAAAACCTTTCCCCACGGGACGCGTTTGCACGCGCAGGCCGCTTGCAGACAGAGGGCGATGCTGGGCACCTACCTTGCCACGGGGCTCACTTCACTCCGGCAGCTCCCCACAGCAGCCAGGAATCATATGGAAATCTAAACAATGACTAATTCCCGTTTGAAACTTAGGTCGGCTTCAAACCACCCAGATCCAAAACTGGCAAGAGTCAAAAAGTCTGGGATCTAAAAATATCAGCTGATTTTTGAGAAAAATGCAGCGAGGACAGGAAGAGCACTGCTCGCAGCAAATTCCTGGAATAATTGGTCTGTGGTTGTTGCATGGGAGTGAGACTGGAGGGCCGTCTCCCCACCGGGGAGAAAATGCTGCAGAAAGGACTGTGGCGGAGTGCGCACCCCCGCTTCGCGTCCCCGGGGCAGAGGCCCCGCGTTCGTCCTGCGAGACCAGGGAGCCGGGCTGCGGGGCCGGATTCTCTGGACTGGCTGCAGCCCACGGGCCTCTGCTGCTTAGGGCCTGCGCTTGACATTGCTGGAAAAGCCACGCAAGCCACGCTTTGTGTTCCTTCCACGTGGTGGTACGGCGAAGAAGCCCGGAGAGAAGGCCAAACGCTCCGCGAGGCATTTCCGCCGACTCTCCCTGCTGCTGGGCCAAGGGATGCTGGAGGGAGGCCGCTCGGCTCTCGCTTCTCCGAAAATGCTCCAGCAGCGGCTTGGGGGCGACAGGAATTCATCACAGTGTTCTGGGCTCTTGCAGCTCAGCGATCGCAGCTGCTCTGTTTTTTAAATATCTCCCGGCCCTCGTGCCCTGCACACTATCCCAAGGCCCCAGTGTGAGGGATTCTTTTGTCTCCAGAAGCAAAAACAGAAAAGCAGAGCTTGTCACTAATCCTTATTCTCTCCTGTAACTCAGTTGCTGCAGCTCTTTAACCATCCCGAGTTCGACCCCGATGCAAAACGTCATTTCCAATGGCTTCCATTCCTTTCCAGATTTTCCCTCAATTGTCGTCCGAGCTGCCATGTGTTCGGCTCTTTTATGACTAACTGCACAATCCTTGGAATAGCTTTGGAATTGTGAGGCATGAGGGTTACCTGGCAGGGTAATTAACAATCTTGATGCAACTGGAGAACTTCGACCAGTATCCATCCCTCCGGGATTTAGGATGAAGGGGTGGGAGAATTAAATTGGCTTATATTTGCACGTAGTAAGCCTTGTTAATTATATATTATCACATATTTTCCCACAGAGGTTGAAAAGAGTAATGGCAGTTTACGAAGAAGCTTAGCCGCAGGAAAAGCATCTCAAGGCACTCAGCATGCGTCCACCTTGAATCCTGCTCAGAAGCTGCAATTTGCAAACGAGGCAGCCAGATAAGAATCCTAGAATCCTAGAAGAGTAGAGCTGGAAGGGGCCCTGAAGGCCATCGAGTCCAACCCCTGCTGGTGCAAGACACCACGTTATACCGTCCCACCCAGACGGCTGTCCAGTTTTGCCTTGAATGTCTCCAGTGTGGGAGAGCCCCCCACCTCTCCAGGCAGCTGGTCCTACTGTCATATTGCTCTGACAGAGAGGAAGCTTTTTCTGATGTCCAGCCTGAATCTGGGTTGCCACAATTCGAGTTGATTATTCCACGTCCTACACTCTGGCATCAGCAAGAAGACATCTTGACCTTCCTCTCTGTGACAGCGTCTGATATTGATTGCAGCAACTCCCAGTTCGGCCCCATAGCACCAGTTCTGGCCCGTTGGCACTGGCCTGCTCCCGAGCCCAAGCCAAGGTGCTTGTTCTGACCTATAAAGCTTTGTAGGTCAGAACCAGCACCTTGACTTGGCATGTACCTCTTGGATACACTGGCCATCAGCCAAAGCCCTCCTCCAAGGGACATCTGGAGATGGTGACCAGAGAGGGAGGCTTGCTTAGCCCTGGGCCCCCACGATGCACGGGAAGTAGCCGCGTGCTGCCACACGGCCTCTCGGCAGTGCCAGTGAAGGATCCCTCCCACTCTTGCAAACAGCATAGCTGGTCCCGGCAGGGTTTCAAAATGCGTTGCGAGGAAATGGTTTCTATCTCAGGTTCTTTTGGATTCCATTGTGAAGGTTTTGCTCTTTTGCAAACCAACCAGAACGCTTTGGTGGCTGCACAGCAGAGGTGCAAATACGGAGCATGGTCATTAGCACCCTGAGCAACTTTGCTGCCTCTCTCACGGCGTGTGCCACCCACCCCAGCGGTCGCCGGGGGCCTGACCTGCTCCTCCTGCTGGCTCAGAGGCTGGGGAGGGAACCATTTTCGTGGGGGGCTACCATGGATCCTCCGGTGGAAATGCCTGGCCTTGCGAATAAGCCAGCCTCCGTGCCAGTGCCCGGGAAAGACTGTGCCCTGGGAACTCGCCCTGCATGCGGACGTCTGCGCGGCAGACTCACAACCCTCTGCCGGGAACCCTGGGATGCTTTTAATCCCATAGAGAAATGCCCGCTGCCAACTTTACCACCTTCTTTTGCTGCCAGGCAAAACTTTTTTTAAAAAGTCGGCTAGACGTTTTTAAAGTATTTAAAGCTGTCGGGCTCTGAATTCTGTTTGTCTCTGCTCTTTGCTTGCTCACTTTGTTTATTGTTTTTATAAACTGCATTGAAATCACAGATGAAAATGCAACGTATTGATTTTTTTTTAAGGTGCCTATTGCTACCCTGCTTCCAATGCTGAATACAAAGCCTCATAGTACTTGTTGTTGTTGTTGTAGTTGTTAGTCGCGAAGTCGTGTCCGACCCATCGTGACCCCATGGACAACACTCCTCCAGGCCTTCCTGTCCTCCACCATCCCCTGGAGTCCACTTAAGCTCACGCCCACTGCTTTGGCGACTCCGTCCAGCCACCGCATCCTCTGCCGTCCCCTTCTCCTCTTGCCATCTATTGTTCCCAGCATCAGGCTCTTCTCCAGGGAGTCCTTCCTTCTCATGAGGTAGCCAGAGTAAATGAGTGTCATCTTCAGGATCTGGCCTTCTAAAGAGCAGTCAGGGTTGATCTCCTCCAGGACTGACCGGTTTGATCGCCTTGTGGTCCAAGGGACTCGCAGGCGTCTCCTCCAGCACCACCATTCAAAGGCCTCAATCCTTTGGCGCTCAGCCTTCCTTATGGTCCACCTTTCACAGCCATTCGTTGCAACTGGAAAAACCATAGACTTGACTATAAGCACTTTTGTTGGCAGGGTGGTGTCTCTGCTTTTTAGTATGCTGTCTAGATTTGCCTTAGCTTTCCTCCTCAGGAGCAAGTATCTCTTAATTTCTTGGCTGCAGTCCCCGTCTGCGGTGATCTTGGAGCCCAGGAAAATAAAATCTGTCACTACCTCCATTTCTTCCCCATCTATTTGCCAGGAAGTGAGAGGACTGGATGCCATGACCTTCGTTTTCTTAATGTTGAGTTTCAAGCCAACTTTTGCGCTCTCCTCCTTCACCCGCATCAAGAGGCTCTTTAGTTCCTCTTCACTTTCTGCCATGAGAGTGGTATCATCTGCATATTCGAGGTTGTTGATATTTCTCCCAGCAGTCTTAATTCCAAATGGTGATTCATCTAGGCCTGCCTTTCTCATGATGTGCTCTGCATATAAGTTAAATAGGCAGGGCGACAGTATACAGCCTTGCCGAGCTCCTTTCTCAATTTTGAACCAAGCAGTGGTTCCGTGCCCAGTTCTCACTGTTGCTTCTTGACCTGCATATAGGTTTCTCAAGAGACAAATCAGATGGTCTGGTACTCCCATCTCTTTAAGAACTTGCCACAATTTGTTGTGATCCACACAATCAAAGGCTTTAGCTTAGTAAATGAAGCAGAAGTAGATGTTTTTCTGGAACTCCC